TCTCATTACTTACTGTATTATCGTCATTATATTCTCTCATTACATTCTCTCATAACACCAGCAATCATATTGTCAGAGCCGAAGCCACAGTTTGAAATGGTGTACATCTCAACCTAAAATAGGACTCCTTGTGTTTGCTTGTTTACACACTGAGGTGATGACTAATCTCATATCCACCTTCATCTGTTGCCATGAGTTCACCACCCACCATTTTCTCATAATGGCTTGCCTCTATGTAAAAAATCAGTTTCAGTGGGAATCACCAATATTAGATTGGAGAGGCGTATGACTAATGGAAATCACTTTAAGAGTTGGAATTGTTACCTGAGATATCACTTTATTCCAGTGTTTTACACCTGTACTATTGTTTTTATAGATTTACAGGTCTGTTCAGGAGGTTATTCACATGTATCATGGCTCTAAACTTCCATATGTGCTTTTATAATTTATCAATTAGATCAGAGTGTCACTTAATTAGCTTAGGTTACTTTTAAAATTGAGAGTCGGTTGCACATATCAGAATAATTTTTATTGTTTCTACTGTTCAAGATTTTTTATTTTTTATTTATTTAAGGGGGGATTCAGGAAACACTTTAATTAATTGGCACTTCATACTTAGTTACGAGCAATTCATGTGAGAGATTGGTGTTCCACTCTCTTGTTGGAGGGTGTGGTTCCTAGTAATGGCCAGGAACGGTTTTGCTTGTCATATATAGTTAGGCCACATATTGCATACATGTAGTTATTAGAGAGCTGGTATTTAGACCACCTCAAAGGGGGGAATTGTTGATTTTATTTTCAGTTTTAAATAACTGTCACATCTTGTTCATTTCTATATCTTTTCACTCCTCTCTGTGGGTCAGCCTAAATAGACATTGTTATGCCGACATATGGTCCTCTTGGGAATGGGTACAGGGTTGTGAATGTGAATGTTTTTCTTTTTAAAGTAGAGAGGGCGGGTCTTTTCAAAAATTCGTGAAAATCATCCACTATACCATTAAGTCACACCTACAAAACACAATACAAAAGCAACAGGAGGACAGAGTGGCATTCTTCAAAGTGATAAGGATGAGGAGAGTACAAATTATAATGTTATTACCAATGGTGCTGTCACATTTTAATTATTTAGCCTGCGTATGCCAACATCCCAGAATCTTCATAAAATGCAGGCATACGCTGAAGTTTTTTTTGTATTTTTTCAATTTTGGGCGTGTACATAGAGTATTCACAGCGAATATAACATATATATAAAATATAACAAATATAAAGTGTAACACACGCCATCATAATGCCAATGAAATGTCACAAGCCAGTGTCTTGAGGGGGGCAACAATGCCCCAGGAGGTGCCCCACCTGCATAAAAAACACAAGATGAAGATTTATCTAAACTCCGCAGTCACGGTATTAACCTGCTACTATATACAACTGGAACAAGGTCAAATTGATGAGATCATGGTGATGTTGGAGGACAGCTTGTCTGAACGTCTCAGCCTTGCCGGATCCTCCATGTCTTGTGGAATGTCTACTCACCATGAAGTCTGGAGGAGCACTGATGGTTTCCTCCTGTGAAGCCCGTTTTATACCAAAATGCTGCCAATAGGCCATTATAAGGTAGCTGTAAGTTAAAACCACGTTTAGTGGTTGGCTGGAACACAGGACATATACATGCATATGTTGATTATGCGTTGGGGATAAGTTCTTGATAAGCTATGCACAAGTTACTTATAGGTTTTGGATCAATTAGACAATGTGTGTCAAAGATCATATAACTTACCTGTAACTTATGGCCCACATATCTGCATAGTTCAAGAAATTTTAAGAGTCATATGTCGATGTGCTTCATTATGCTCGTAACTTATCCATAACTTATCCAACTTATCCAGCGTTTTTGGCTAATTTTTCTTACATCGACATACGCTGGCTACTTCGTCAAGTGAAAAGAATCAGCAAAGAATTCTGGTCTGTGGAATAGCAGCATTAATTTTAGGGAACATTTTCCTAACTGGTTTTTTATAATGTGTGGGCGCATAGTGAATTTAATAAAAAAAAATGGTGCCTCTAATAATAAATACAATTATTTTCACTAAGTTTTAAACTTACAGTTCAAAAAGAATACTCTGTATCATCTAGTGTATTCCTCTATTTCTTTTATTAACCCTGCTGATAAAATTACGTGCATACAGTGCATCTAAAATTATCCCAGCTGCAAACCAGCTGAGCTCCAGACATCACGCTTTCACATATATACTAATCAAGCATTAAAACACTGACTTGGCTAAACTTGAATGGCTTTTTACAAGAGAGAATGCCTGTAGAGAAGACTGGACTTGTCTGTAGAAAGATCTGGTGTGACGCCGTTATGCATGTTCCATCCCTCCATACTCACATATTCACAATGACTGCTAGTTAAAGACTGCTGGTGAGCACAGAATATGGCAAAATCAGCTCCCTGGTGATGCACACTTTGATGAATGAGCAATTGCAAAGTATGGATTACCCTCTCAGTTGTAGTGTTGACACTGCATACGCATGTCTCCCTCAAGTGTATGTTGTCAACACTTCGATTTTCCCTGTGATCTATTCCTCTCTGTTTTTTAACATAGTAAGAGTTCCTGCTTTATTCTTGTCTTCTTGCAGACCAGTGCGCTGCCCTCCACTTTATCTTGGTCATTATGGCCTTGATCAGATCCATGTTTTTTTGGAACCCCATGAGCTCACACTACAAAGCTTGCAGTTTCTCCATCACATATTTTTCAGCATACTGTCCTGCCTGAATGGATATATCTGCTTGCTGTACAGCAGACAGATGTCCCTAACAGGCACCACCTCCCTCACATTATCCAGTAGGAAATCTTGCTCTGTGCAGAACAAATGGAAATAGCAACTGCAGAAAATAAAGCAGAAGACTAGATTTTGTTTTCGCATTCTAATGTGGAAAATATAACTTTGTTCTTAGATAATCTTGTTCATGTTAACAATGGAGCAGAATCACTTAAGTAAAGAGCATATTCTAATCTCTAACAAACCAATCAAACAAATACTAAGTTATCATATATTTATATTTATATGAAAACCAAAAAAAAAAAAACATGAAAAACACTTTATAAAACAAAAAATTTATTTCTTGTACAGGTTTATTTCTTGTGCATTAATTTTGCCCTTATGTCCTTGAGATAATCCAATTTCTCAATGACTCTATGGTTGAGGATGGTTTTAATAAGGTACTTCTCCACAGAGATCATGTTCCCGAGGATCACCTTCTCAGAGCCACAGTCTCTGAGAAGGTGTCCTGAAGATTGTTCCCCATGAAGAGCTTGTACAGAGCCACTGCACCACTGCCGCTCTTGAACTCATCAGGTCAGCTCTAGTGGTTAGAGCAGTGCCCTTGTGTTATGAAAAGGTTGCAAGTACCCGGTTCGATCATCACAGCCTGCACTCTGGGTCTCTGAGCAAGACTCTTAACCCCCACACCGCTCTGCACAATGGCAGCCCACTACTCCCCAAGGGAATGGTGAAATGCAGAGAGTTAATTTCTCCATTGTGAGATCAATAATGTCAAACTTCTATCATTTTTCTATCCTTTTTTCTACTCCTGGAATCTGTCTGCCTCTTCGGCAAATCTCTGTTTTGCATGGTCCAATATGGTGTCACAAATAAATAAATAAAAATAACGTACCAGTTTTATTAAGGAGAAGTTATTATTCAGCTTTCTAGTTTTTTAATATGTAAAAAAATTTTTATTTTTCTGAAAATGTGTTTGTTTAAGAGCAAGTGTGCAAATTAACAAAGTTAACTTTAATATTAAAGTATATAAGGCCTATTCTAAGGCGTGGGTCCCCCTTTTTAGAATACAGCACCACTATGATTAAAAACATTGAGATGCAACCTTCACATATATTTTCTACCTCACCACTGTGGCTAACTTCTCACCTGGGCCAGTGTGCGGCCAGCTGAAGCAAACTGCCACAGTCTTCTCCACAGAGCATAGGGAGGGAATCTCTGAACAAAACCCAGCAGACACCAAGTGGAAATATCCGTTGTGTGGAGACAAAGTCTGCACTCCTGATTTCTTCAAGGATGCATTCACTTAAAATTGACAGGATGCACTCAAGGACTTCATTCTGTACTGTCTTAGACGTTTCTTGAACACAGTGGCTATCTGTAGCTGCTGTGTAGAACGGCATTCAGTGGTGCTACAAAATCCACCAATCATCTAAAAACACCAGGGTTTTCTGAGCTCTTACTTTCATCATTGCCACGCAGGGAAAGTTCAAATGCACTACAGAATTTGACACAAAGTTTTATTGATAAAATGTGTCGGTTTTTTTCAAACTCCTCGTTATGTTTCCGAATCCCTACGCTGTAGCCTTCATCACGCAGAGATGAAATGTTTATTTTCCCAAACATGGCTAGTCAGAGTGCATTTTCCATGTGAATCCCGGATTGTTCATGCTTCTTTGCCTTTACTGAAAAGAGCTTTCAATCAGTCCTACTGTCTTTATCCATGTTGTGTCAGATCTTTTTGTTTGAAAAAGGATGCAGGGAAAGCCGAAAACAACGACAGCCTCGCTGCATGCAGTTAGCCAAGCGTTCTTGCGTTTTATGTCTTAATCAGGGCCATTGGGTCGGTGGGGCGGCGCCCTAGCGCCCTCTATTGGCCAGCTGCCACAGGTATCATATTTGATGAGCTATTGACACTTCTGCATGGTCAGTGTGATGTTTTTGTTCAGGAAGACCCTGTGTACCAAATGAAAGAAAAAAGTTGTGGTTAGGGGTTCTGAATATTTGAGATCTAATTGATATTTGTGTGATCTAATTGAATTTTTCTGCAGTGTCTCGAGATTACGTTTGTTGTGAATTGGCAATATGTATAAAATGAAACTGAATTGAACACAGTTTTATATAAAGGAGGAATGTAATGATTGTCTATGTTTTGTTACACATCTAACCATTTTTCTCCTTTTGACATAAGAAATGTTTTCTCCCATTTCCCTGCATAGGAGTGTGCCTGGTGCTGGGTTGCATGATCTTCCCCAACGGATGGGATGCAGAAGTGATCCGGGATATGTGTGGAGAGCATTCAGGGAAATACTCTCTGGGTGACTGCTCGGTACGCTGGGCCTACATGCTGGCCATCATGGGCATCCTCGATGCCCTCATTCTCTCCTTCCTGGCCTTTGTCCTGGGAAACCGGCAGACAGACTTCTATCTTGATGATCTGCAGACAGACAACAAAGGTAGATACATAATTCTCCCTTTAAGTAAGTAAGTAAGTAAGGAAGGAAGGAAGGAATGAACAAACAGTTGTGAAAATGCAATGGCTCAGCATTTATCTTCACAATATTATAATCATAGAATGTCAATTCCTCCCTGCAGTTCAGTGGTTAACATGAACCCCGGTTACAGTGCCTCTGACAAAAGCGCTGTATTGCTCTATTAACTGCATTTGAGCGAAAAGCATACACATTTCAAATACTTTAATTTCTTACATCATGAAAAATGAAAAAGAAATGTGTCTAATATCAGGAAAAATTGTCGACTTCATCATGTATGTATAATCAATGAGTAAATACCTGAATGTTCCACATTCAGCTGCTCAAATAACTAGATGCAAAAATAAGCAGAACAATAATGTCTGGTCGTCATATTCACCTATTTATTGGAAAGCAAAAGAGGTTCTGTCTATCAGTGATTAATATGTATTGGTGTGGAATCTGCATTAGAGTAAAACAACATTGAAGATGTTAGGTGAAACAAGTAAAAGAGAGTTGTCTTTTACAGGCATAACAGGCTGAACATGGACTCAGAAGGAAGAAAAACATATCATTGCTCTGAAAGCAACAAAGGAATCAGTTTACAGTCTGAAGATATAATCACAAACAAATTAATCTTATGCTCAGTGCACCATAAAATCAAATAAAGTTATTGGCCATGATGACTATTGGTCAATTTTGAAGAGGAAGGGAGAAGCCTCCAAGCCTGAGAACAGAATCCCAACTATCAAAATAGGGAGACACATCGTTATCATGTGTGGGGTTTTTGCTGCAGGAGGAACTGGTGAACATATAACATATATACGGCAGCGAAAGGAGATTTCATTAGGTGGACATATAAAAGCAACATCTCAAGTGGTGAGGCTGCAGCGAGTTAAAGCTAGGACACAGATGGGACTTCTAAATGGACAATGACCCCAAACAACCACCCGAGATTAGTTATGAAACGGGTTAAAGATAAAATCGATGTTTTGAAATGATCATCACAAATCTCTACTATCAATGATACACTAGGTATTATGAGCAAGGTGACCTACACACTATGGTGAGCAGCTTGTGAAAGTTTATCCAAAACAAGTAATACAGTTTAAAATGTTATTCTAACAAATAATCAAACATTGTCAGTTCTAAATTTAAAGTTAAAAAAATTATCTCTGTCTCACTATTTTAGAATTTAGCAAACAAATATTATCTTGTTCATCTATTCCTAACAAGAAATCTTACTTCGTAATTGTCCCTGTCCACAGAAAGAGAACATAGTAAGTTTTTTTAAGTGTATGTAAATATCTTAAAATATATCTGAATATCTTTAAAGTGGAAGGAAACAGTTAACAAGACTAATTGATTTCCAAGATTGTGTTTTACTGTTATCAACAATTGATTGATTGACTAATTGATCTCACAGCAGAGAAATATACTTGTCACATTAGCATATATATATACATTTATATGTATATATGTACATATATACATATAACCATATATGTATATATACATATATACGTATATACATACATATATACGTACAGATATACGTATATATATATATATATATATATATTATTTTTTTTTATTTTCTACTCTTAATCATTTAGGTAGAACATAAAACAGTCACTGTATTGCTTTAAAAGATCAGTTTCTTCAATATTAATTTATTTCATACTAAACTGAAGCTAATACCAAAAATACACTTCAATCTGACCCCTGTATGTCCAGCCAAGTTGCTCTCAGAGCTGAATCTAAGAGTGGGTGAGAGTCCTCGGGGAGCTTTCTGACAGTTTGCATGATATTGCATCAGGGCAGTCCAATCACATTGTTCTATGCTCTAAGAAAGAAAGGGGAAGATGAGGAAAGGAAGAGCAGAGAGCAGTGGTAAAAGGGGAAAGGCAGGAGATATTATTCTGAAAAATAAAGTCTCCTTACATAACAATTTCCTGTTTGATCTGATTCCAAAAATTTAAAAGCACATCCTCACAAAACATCTATCAATGTTACAAAAGGCCGTGGAGAAAAAAAGAAAAAGACAAAAAAAAAAAACTTAGACATCAGACATAGCAATGGATAAGCAAAAGTAAAACAGTACAAAAAGGAGGGGGAGGAAAAAAGTCAGAGACTACAGTGACATAAGATGTCTTGGTTTTCCGACATTCTATCTCCATAATGGTTTCCATGGTAACTGGATATATTCCAGAGCATGGGCGTGTCGTTTGTTCTTAACCGATTAACCTCACCAACATACTCTGAGTATACACATAAAACACTCCCCTGACACTTAAATCAAGTGTTCTTTTATCCACTAGTTTGTTGAATATAACATGTTTCTCATTGTAGAACGAACAACAGCTGAAACATAGCCAACACGGCCTATCACATGTTGAGCAGGAGTAAAACCTTATACTTTTGAAAAAAATAATTCTAAACCAAATGCAAATTAGTTATCTTTTTTCATACATTTTTGGCATACAAAAATACATTGATCTAATTACTCTTTCAAGCCGGTGGTCCAAACTTTAAGATTGCTTAAATCGCTTTTATAGGTAATAGCTACAAGTTCAACACCTTCCAACCAAAAAGTGGCACCCCCGTGTTTGTTTTCCTCTTCAGCTGTGCTGTTTGCCAACCATTTTACAGTTCTGCTCACCAAACCAAACGTTTAACAGTTCAGAAGAAAAGCAGCAACCTCCGCATGGCCTCTGAGCCCCTTTGCTACCTTAGCTGGCCATCAAGACTTCGAAAGGGGGGTGGGGGGGTCAATTTAAGAAATATTAAGCCAGGAAGAAGCATTTTCTCAGAGCCCTCACGGATTAATAACAAGGCTGGGTATGTTTGGTGGGAATCTCACCTCTGAGAGATATGGAGATGAGCCCAAAGCAGAAAGTCTATTGTGTTGCTGAGCCTATAAATGTATTTCCTTTACAAATGAGCTGGCATCTTAAGTGAAATAAACATATTTCCAATGGTAAGATTGTTAGCAAGGTATAATTTTTATTTGAATTTAAACTGTTTGATATTTTTAGAAGAAAAACTGCTTCTCATATCACAGCGTATGCACTGTTACGACAATGATGGCTCTAAAAAATGGATTCAAAAAATACAACCAAGACAAGCTTAAGGAACTAGATTTATGAAGTTAATAGAATTTAATTCAAGTGAATTTTAATGTGGAAACAATTGTAATATGACCAAAGATATGGATAAAAAATTTAAGCCGTTTTGAACCCCAGTGAAAGGATGACCTAAATGCTTTATTTGTACTTATGTAATTGTATTTATGTTTTGCAAACATGTGCACATTTTCTTCATTGTGTGTAGCAATGTATAAACATTACTTTTTCCTTCTTTGTATTTGCAGATTTTGCTGTTTCAAGGGTAAGTCAATCTCCATTACACCTTTTATGATTGGCATGTGCAGCCTGGTTTATAAACAGGCTTGTGTGTGTATTACATAGCGTTTACAATCAAGCTGAGTATCAGTAGTCTGCAAATTCATTATCTATAGTGAAGATTATCAATTTTTTTGCTCAACAGTTTGAGTTATATATGTGAAAAACAAAATGTAAACTTAGTTTAACAGAGATTCATCCACAATTTGTTTCCCGCAACTTGGTCATTAAGGAAGATAAAAGATAACAGAACAAATAAAAATTTTTCAGGCAATTCATTGCCTTACCCCTCTAACAAAAATGTGGTCATTGGACATTGGACATCATTTGGACATAACTCCCAACAACACTTTGCAACTAATTATAGGTTTTTTCTAGTATAGCTTTTCTAGACCAGTCATTTTCAAACTCAAACCAGGGCACCCATGTCCTGCATGTTTTAGATACGTCTTTGCTCTAGTAAACCTCTGACTAGTGACTGCATTTCCTCCTTTCCACTTTAGCAGGTACCAAGGGTGAATCTGCATAATTGACGCCCATTTAATGCAATATAAGGCTACAATAGTGGGAAAAATTTGGGTTCCCACTCTAGTCAAATGGTTAATTTATAGAAATGGCATTGAAGACGAATAAGGAAAATTTAACAGGTTCAACGATCAAGGATCTGATGGGTAAGAACTGAGCAGCAGAATAAAAGGACCATTTAAAGCAAAAGAGAGGGATTACATTTGAAGAGCTCTGAATAATGTGGTTGAGGCTTTACAGAATTTGAAATAAAATTAAGAAAACAAAAACAATTAAAAAAAAGTTATTTGTTCCAAAAACTTTTGATAGAGGCTACAGCTGCATCTGATGATGTAAATACTTAACATTATTTCACCATCAACCAACAACACAAAACATTCTGCAAAATCTCTTTTTAATACAGAAACACATGTACTGTATACTGTATCTCCAGACCAAGTCTGTCATCCTTTCATCTCTCTCATTCAACACATAACAAAAAGTTTAACGGCAAAACTCTAATTTGATTAAGTAAAACAGACCAAATCCCAAACATTCCACATTATATGTAATAGCAAAGCCAAGAAGCTGTGTTAGAGGGAAATAAAATGTTACCCTGTTGATGAACTTTCTATCCATTTTCTTTTCCAGATGTTATCTTAATAGTAGATTTATCTCTTATCATTCTTCCTTTTGACAGAGTGATAAAAAGTAAAACCAGTGTCCCTGGATACCGACATGCCAACTACACGTGTAGTGAACGATAGTTCTGTCATCAGCAAATAGAAAAGTATTTCATAATTGCAGAGTTGCATAATCTATCATGTTTAGTTTGCAGTAAGAGAAATGTATTCATTTTTGGATAACAGCTAACTGATCGTGATTGACTCCTATGTCAGGTCTGGATCTCTTTAGGAGAAAACAACATTTTCTTCTAAATCACAAGTACGAACAATTTAAGGAGGAATTTGTTCTAACGAAAGGTTCTAGCTTGAGGCCCGTTGTGTCATCAAGGACTTGTTGCTGTGATTTGCAGCCCATATATTGAACACTTAGAAGTAGTTTTTAATCAACTTTATTTGCACAGAGAACTTTCCAGTGTTTTTTTTTTTTTTTTACTTTTCTTTTCTATTTTCCACTGTAGCTGGCAATGCTTGCAGTGTCATCAGTTTTATAGCTGCCACAGATCCAACCGCCCAATGAATTTTGTGGCAAAAACAAATGGTTTTAATCAGGCCTCTCTCTGCCAGCATTCCAACAGTTTGTAAGCTGCCTTTCTTTAGAAAAGAAAACTTTAAATTTATTTTATGTAAAAGTAAAGAATTTATACAATACAGCAAAAAAGAAAAAAAAAATCATATCAGAATGTTATTTCTTTTTCTCTGCTCAGACTATAGATATATTTCTAAGGGTCATCCTGTATATTAAAAAAAAACTGTAAGAAGATGGTCACAGGAAGCTGAAGAAGCCCTGCAAGGTTTTTAGGTTTCTCACTGGGATGCACTTTGTCAGCATCATGGAGATCAATGCAGTTACTGCGTGTACAGTATGAATGAATACATAAAATTCTGTTTTGATAAAGCCCACCCCACCAGAGCAGTCAAATTCCTTCACAATTATAAACCCTTGATCACCACAAATCTGAAGGAACTTCTTAACAAGATTAAAAGAACCACTGGGAAGAGAGGGTATTATTGAGGAGTATTAAGCTACTTAAGGCCAAGAAAAGAGAAAACAAGAAGACATACATAGAGAGGTTGGAAACTAAGCCCCAGAAGAAGAGTACCAGAGATATGTGGTTAGGGATGATGAAGATTATAGGTTACAGGCATAATAGGATCAGAAAGGACAGTCAGGACAGGAAGCATGAATTGAAAACATTCTTCAATATTCAGGAACAAGCTCAGCATCCTTCTCTCCTGGCCATAGTCAATCACAAACCCTACCCTCCTGTGATCCATATCTTCTCCTTCAAACCTTACATTTTTCATTTTCCCTCTCTGCGACAGTTCCTTCTGCTTCTTCATGTTTTTTCTCTGGCGCAACAGAAGATGGCGTTGCTCCCTCTACCTTTCACGCGTCTTTCTCCAAAAGTCATGTGTAGAGATAACTGAAGGGACTGAAAAATAATAGGTGACCAGGTCCAGATAGGGACATCCCTAGAACCCTGAGGGCCTGTGCAGAGCAGCTCTGTAGGATTCTACAAATCCTAATTTTAAACCTTAGCCTAACCTAGGAGAAGTTTCCAGTGATGTAGAAGACCTCCTGCCTTGTTTTGGTACCAAAGAATACTCAGCTACCAGTCCTCTATGAATGAGACCTGTTGTCCTGACATCATGAAGGTCCTAGAGACACTTCTGTTGGTTCACCTTGCTAATCACTGCCGAATTGTTGTTGAAGATGCCATCATACATCTATACTTAATCATACCCACGGTCATTTCTAAAAGGCAGACAGCAGTTAGGATTGTGTTCATTGGTTTCTCTAGTGGTTAACACAATTTACCCTGACTCACTTTATCAGAAAATCTTGGATCAAAGACTATCTGAACAACAGACCACAGTTTGTAAGCCTTAAGGGTCAACTGTCTAATCAATTAGTCAGCAGTATGGGAGGAGAACAGGACATGGAACTCTCACCCTTCCTTTTTCATCTGTACACGTCTAACTTTCAGTAAAAGACAGACTGCAGGAATAGTGAGATTACTGTGCAGTCATTGGGTGCAACAGTGATAGATTAGAAGCTTAGTACAGGGAGCAGGAGCACCACATTGTGGTACGGTGTGGAAACAATCCTCTGAGAATGTGAACAAAACAAGGGAGATGACTGGAGATTTCAGAAAAAACAGGAACGTGTTGAATCCCATCAACATCATGGGAGCAGTGTAGGAGTATATCAAGGTGTTCACCTGAAGACCATTTCAAGAAGGAGGTTTATTGAAAATGTAAAGTTTATTAACTGAGAAATCAGATTAACTTTTTTTCTGTTACCATAGTAACATTCTCAATGGAGCTAACCTAGTCAGGAGCAGGTTTTCATCAGTAAACTCAGTGTCCTCTATATCCTCCTTCCTAAAAGCCAATTACGTTGTTTTATTTACTTTTTATTTAATCAGGACAGTTTTGTCATAGTTTTGTGCGAACAATAAAAATCTTTCTCTAGATCCATTAACCACATTAGGTGTTAAAAACACACACTTTAGTAAAAGATCCAATTAAAGAATGATTGGCATTAATTCACAGAAAATGTCAGTGTTTATAGGGAGAGGGTCCTCAGTCTGCATATACTGTACAGTCGATGTTTTGATTTGTATAACTGTGTTATCTTTATTAGCTCTACCGTTTCACATCAAAATCCATCACATACAATCCAAAACCTTCTCCTTCCTGACATTTGCAGCATTATACAGACTTCTTTAACAGGTATTTAATAGAACTGGATATTGGTGATAACAACTGCACAGTCAGACACTACTTAGTATTTACTGTTTAATTTAAGACTGAATCAATATGAGGAGGAACCCCATGAGATAATGCACAGGTCCTACCTGCTGATAGGTGATTGCACCTAAATAGAACACACCAATACAATACCATTCATGCTACAGCTTATTTTTATTATTGTTATTGATTGAATACTACATTCTATGGCAGGCCGTTCTGATATTTGTTCATCTGAATATGGATTTCTGTTAACAAAAATTCCCTTTTCCTTGTCAATTTGAACATTTAAAACAGTCACATTCTTCATATCTGAAATAAATATAATAGATGTCTAAAAATGAATATCAACTATCCATTTGCCTCTTGTTACTGGTCAGAATTTGCATTATTTTGAGTAAAAGAAATGTCTTTCAGATATCAATAAATACATCTCCAATCAAGATGAAAAAGGTCAAATCACTCACTTAAAACGTGAAAATTTCATTCATACTATGACACTACTAGCATGAATCACTAGTACATACGACATACTATTACAAGAGATAATTTCAGCTATCAACTTATACAATAGCTCTTTGGGGGGAAAAAAGTGATAAGTTAGAGCTTTTAATTTTCCATTTGGATTAATTAATATTTTGAATTTAATTGTTAAACATTTATTAATTTAAGTTCGGTTTGTGGAGAAAGGTAATATTTAAAACATACAGGACAATCGGTCCTGAGGGCTGTGTAGGAAAACTACTGCTCAAAAACAATTTTAAACCATCATGTTTTGGTCTAGCATGGGGTGTTCACCTAGAGGTACCTGCAAAAACCATTTCAGGATGGCACCTAGGGTTCCTACTTATTACATGACAGAACCACCTCATCTGACTCATTGAAATATGGAGAAGCAACGTCTTTTTTCATAGATTTTAAATTATTTATTTATCTTCCCCTGGATGACAGAGTTCTTCAACTTTTTTATAAGGGAAAGCCCAGCCACCACATGGAACTACTATATTTAACATGACAAATGATTCCCTGTCTTCTATACTAAAAGATGCTCAAGTTTTACTATAGATAAAGGCAGAAGCAGTTGACATCTCCAATGTGATCCTACCATAGTTTCTGAATAAAAAAAAACAACCATAAACTTAAAGTTCTCCAACTGATTACTTAACACTTTTATTTTTAACAGCCCTTTATTTCGATCTCAACATTAGGGTGATGAGTAAAGCACTGACATTAAAAACCACTTGACACAGTCATTACCGCACAATGCATCTTTGCCTAAATGCTTATCATATGGAAAAGAATAAACAGATTATGAAATAGCTAATGACTGTAAAAAATAGTTTAAGTTTGTACTTACTAGCTTCTTTTAGCAGCTAGTTATGCTGCATTGCTGATTGGTACGCATATGCCTTATCATGATTTTAAGAGAGACAGACAATTAAAATTACCTTTTGTAAATGGTCAACTTTTATGTTTTGTTTTCATTAACAAGAATTTCCTCTCTTTGTTTTCCCATCAGATTGAGGTACGAGACAGAAGAGAGCCACGGTATGGAGTGCAACGTCTACACTGAGACACAAAGGCCCTGAACAGCCTCTGTTTAAGTCTTTCTCTTCTCTTTCTCTCCACTCTCTAATACTCTCCTTTCCTATCCAATGATCAGGATATCACCCAATCTCAATGCAGACACCAAGTGTACAGGATTGTGTAAGATAAAAAAAACAAAAACAAAAAAAACAACTGCAACAAACACATGGGGATAAACTATATTTTGAAAAAAAAATACAAGGTTGTACAGTGCATTTAACACTCAACTTTCTCAAACAAATACCTTTATGATAAAAAAAAAATATTTACTGTATTTAAAGTCTTGATTTTGTTTGAGAACTCCAATCCTTAAGATGAAGAACCATATTGTCCGTTTTACAGTTCTTTCTTTAAAGTGTCGCTTTTTACTTTAGTTTGTGTGATGTGAAAATTCATAGCATCAAACTAGTTGTACTCCTTGCAGAGTTACAGATTGAAGACTCGCAATATAGCTGGACGTCCATTATTACACATTTAAAAGACACTACAGGGACTTGTATGGCTCTTCATCTAAGGACTTTTAAATGTGGTGAATTTAAAAGGAGTACCCATTGCAGCTTTACAGAATTTAACATCTCTGGGAGATTCTCTACTGTACATACTAAACAATGTAAATAACATAACTGCTGACGCGAACAGCCGACAACAAAACCTCATCTGACTCTGATGCATTCGAGTATAGTCTTTCTACCCTTGGTTTCAGTGTTTCTTGTGCTGGAAGAGCAGCTGAATACACACAGATTTGTTGTGCTCCTATGATTCCTGACTAATGATGCAGAGGGATCACACAGATAGGATTAACACAGAAATCGTAGCTGGAAGATCGTCAGAGAAGCAGAGCACCGTGACGTAGAATAATTGTGTTTGATCATTTTTTTTTGTTATTTTGAAAAAGAAAAATAGACACTTCTCCTTTAACAATACGGCCTCAAAAGAAGCTGCTTATTGTAGATTTTCACCCTACTTCATGTTGTAGATTTTAAAATGGAAATTAGCCACAGCTCTGATGTTAATTTTTTTTTTTTTTTCTATTTCACTCATTTATGCCCTATCACTACCCCTCTCCTCAGTGTGCAGTTTACTCCAGTTTATGGTTCCAGCATTCAGTTACCAGTTTACGCTACAGATGTCTTAAGATTGTGTGAACATGACTGCTAGAGTTTGCCCCAAGTGCTGCATTGTCTTAAGCTGATGTCAGTTATATGCCTCTTCGAAAAACAGTTTTTGTTAGTCACAGAAATCACAGGTCGGACAAGCAACTCTTAGAAATACAACAATGTTTGAGGTACTACAGTGCATAGACAAAAGTAATTTGGCAATAAATGAAAGGGGAGATATTTCATGAATTGTCTTAAATACAATAATTTTTATACTTTTGCAGTGTAGTTATTAACAAGGAAATGAAAATGTGAAAGAATAAATGTACTGAACTTGAAAATGAATCCTAAAAGCGGCTTGACGTTTCTAAAGTATGAAATACTTCATAATTAATTAGTAAAGTAGGTAAGAACATTTGTTTTAGGTTGATTTTTTTATTGTAACAATACTTTGAAGTAATAGATATTCCCTAAATTTCTCTTTTTTAATTGTGCCTCATTGGTAAACAGATGCTTTTTAGGGGTGAGCATTAGAGTTTAATGTTTGGGTATGAAAAGCCAGCCAAATCTTTAGCTCATATTGCCAGTGACTCCAGTTTTGTGTCTTTCTTGTATTTCAAACATTTAATTTTCAAGAAACAATACATGCTGGTAATTTACTAATTTATTAAATGATCAAACTGGGACCTCAGTGGACCCTACAGTAGCCCTAGAACTACAACCACATACAGCAATTACAGCCTGGTAAGTTATTGCTAATGCTGAGCTCCCGCTTGGTGAACCACTGCTGTAGAAAGGTATCCCATTCCTCAACTAGCAGCCAGTATGGTTGAAATGTTCTGGTCACTTTGGCGTTAGCGGCAAGCCCAGTCTGAATCCAAAAAGTCTTAAGTATAGTTGATGTAAGGATGTAAGCATTTACAAAGAGGATAAAACTAACTTCCTAAAATTGTTCATTAGTGGTAAATTAAACTTTGAGTTCTCTTTGCACTGAGATTGCCTTTAGTGATGACTAAAAACCTTGTTTAAGCAATGACAGACACGGTGTTCCACACCATAACACTGCCTCCAATAAACTTGTTTAATATTGGCTGAGGGAATAAAGAACTTTCTTTTCTCTACCTCATATTCAACTCTAATACTTAACCCCTGGTGACGATGTTTTGCGTGTATAGCAACATTAACGGGTGATACGCAGCCTTTAATTGATATAAGATCTGATACCAGAAAGCATTGCTGCACACAAAAATAAATGTAAACAGAGATTTAATTACTCTTTGTATCAAGTTTAGTTTCATCACAAGCCGTTGACAGATGTTGTATCATAGTGTGCTAGCTAAAAAATAGAGAAATCATTTTGACTAATGGAGTTTTTGTAGCTAGCCACAGGGTAAGCTACTGCTAATTTTAGCAGTTTAAGGCAACTTAACCAAATATAGTTTTTTTAATGTGGGCAATGGAAGCTGTTAGTGTGGAAATCAGACACGCCTCTTTCAAAAGCCACCTGTTATTGTTTTTTTTCCCCCAGCAATTGTTGTGTGATTCTGCTTAAGTTTCATTGGAAGAAGCTGTCAGATGTGTAAATCTGGCCCATTAAGTCTTTCCAAAGGGGCACAAATCTTCTTTACTTTACAACATGTCATCTCTCAAAATCAAAAGGTATGGTTCTTCTGCAATGACAGCTCTCATAGGTTTCAGAAATGATTGGAAGAATTTTGATATCTCCATTAGTCGATTAAGTACCTTTAGCAGAGTAAGATGTTCCTTGGCTGAGCAGCCGAACAGCAGCCATATACACAACGCATTTAATTAATATCTACTGACAAAGCACTGTATCTAATGAATATAAGGATTTTTTGTAATATTCATTTATTTATAAATGAGGCCTAAGTGGGTACACCCATCTAAATACCTATAAGCCCTCCACTGCTAAAAAGCATTGACATCTTTATAACCACTCTGATATGACATCTGTCTACAAAAGGTACCAAAACTCATCGGTTATAATAAGTTTACAGATCATCACAAATCTAAAATAGTGATTAAACGTTTCTGCTTTTCATCAAGTTCCTTTACGTCATCTTCATTTAGGAACACCACTGAGATATAAATTGATGAATACAAAAAACTATTTTCAGTCGTCTATTTTTAAATATTTCGCCCCAGGCATAATCATTTTACATACCACTCTTTTTTTTCTTGAGGTCTAACAATATAAAGAAAGATAACCTATTATGAATCATGGTTAGTTTCATGGCAAGCATGGCAAGTGCTGATGGAAAAAACAGAACATTAAAAGCTAACTATGTTTTGTTAACAAGTTCAAACATGTTACTAAGTAAGATGGGATAGTTAAAACTGAAAGCTACCATAATACAGCAGAACTGTGCAGGAAGATGCTAATCAGAATAAAAAGATTTTAACTTTGCAGAAAGTGTCAGTTACACCCGACTTTAGAAGTAAAGAAAAAATATTCAAGAATTCTGAATAAATTCAATTCAATTCAATTCAATTCAGTTTATTTATATAGCGCCAAATTCACAACACATGTCATCTCAAGGCACTTTACAGTTCAACCAGATCATACAGTCAAATTGATACAAAGTTTTCTATCTAAGGAAAACCAGTTGATTGCATTGACTCAAATACAATCCCCCACACTAAGCATGCTTGTAGCGACAGTGGAGAGGAAAAACTCCCTTTTAACAGGAAGAAACCTCCAGCAGAACCAGGCTCAGTGTGAGCGGCCATCTGCCGAGGCCGACTGGGGTTCAAGGAGACAGAAGCAGAGATACAAAAAGCAGCTGTAAAAGGCGACCCCGTCCAGGAAACACACAGCCAGGCAGACGAGCTCCAAGGCAGCTCCCATGCCAGAGGACGAAGAGAGCACATCCACTCAGTCACGGTCAGAGAAACAGGACCACACTGGAAAACAGGACGATCTCCAAAATCTATAAACAAGGGTGTTGATAGAAGCAGCACAGCTGATGTTTCTTTCCAGGATGACGTCACAGCCAAACAGGAACAGACGAGGCTAAGCTATGCTAGTTGAATACTAATTAGCTTCTTCATATCTATGTATTGGATGGTTATTAAGAGCCCAGCTTAAAAGAAAATCCTTGATTTTTTTTTTGTCTTTGGTTATATATTTAGTTGTGAACTAGAGTTTGTAAAATAATTTATCTTTGTGAGAAAACATGATGTTGATCCCTTCAAAAAAAAGGAAGGATGATTTGTAAAAGCGATTTGACTTATTTCAACTTTAAAAACGTCAGAAACATAGCAGAGAAACATCTGTTTACGTTTTGGTGTAAATTGAGTAAGAGATTCTCATGGTATATTAACCTTGAGGGGGGAAAAAAAATCATGGAATAGTATTTACACAAAAATGGAAAACCAAAACTGTTTTATTAAAAAACAGAAAAGCAACAGTTTTTCCTCTGGCTCTTTAAAAAAATAAAAACAATGATAATCAACAAGATAACTATAGATTTTTTTTTAGGTTATTTTGACTGTGAAGCATACGTAGGATAACATTTCAAAAAGTGCATTTGTAATTTCTTTTTATTTCTGCTTTTTATAAAATAATAGAAACAACAAGCTCAGTCATAGCTGGATAATCAGATGAAACTGATGCTAAACAGGTATTCTGCTGAAAGTCAGCTGACTAAAGTTGACTTAATAAGACTGATGTGTTGAATTCCTTTAGTTTCACCCTGTTTGTCTTTAAAAAGTTTTTTAAAAAGAGGTGTAGTCACCTTTTTACAACTTACCTGCAGTAAGAGTTGCTGCAGTATTCCATACTCCTTATAACCAGAGAAAAGTCTTTAGCTCTGACATTTTCTCAGCCTTAAAGTATAGGAGAGGTATAATGACACCTTAAGTAGTTTGGTTCTTTAGACTGGCCCATATCTAGACACATACTAATTATCTAACTGTTTCTTATTTAGTGAAGTCTTTATAGCTTGTTGGCCTCAAATTCCCCAAAGACATGCAGACCAAACACTGTCCGCTGTGATAACTGCAAGAGATTTCCTGCATTATCCATGTAGCTGTGACATTAAACTCATTATGGCTTGCTGGTTAATTTTGATGCTTC